AAAGGGTGTTTGGGAAGGGCAGAAGGCTGTGGAGGAGGCATTTGGTTGTGGGAGGATTAGAGGCTCCCCATGCTCTCTGAAATGTGTGCCTGGCTTCTGCGGCAGCAGGGAAAGAACCAGAGGCAAAGAGCAGCGCTCTCATTCCTGTAAAAGTGTCCTGGAATAGCTCAAAGTGCACAGGAGCATCACAGTGGTGGATCCAGGGATAACTGAGGTCAGCCCCTAGCTCTGTAATGCCTGCAGAGTCTCTGGGCTTTTCTGTGCCTTGAAAAATACTGAAAGCTGGAATTGCGCCCACCCCTTCAGAAGAAAAGGGCTAAAAATCTGGCAAATGAAAATATATCTGATGGAGAAATCTTGGGAGCACCTGCCAGGTAGAGCTGGTGCTGTGGGACTTTGCTCCAGTGACCTGAGGAACCTAGAGAGACAGCTTTTCTGGGAAAGTGAGTTCGAGGCAATCACGCTGMTTCTGACGTGAGTCTTGTTCTCTTTCAGTCTTTTTTAGGAGGCTGGACATCCCAGAAATAGTTGTGTTGTGTTGTAAGTTCTGTGAAAAAAGACACCTGACTTGAGGAAAGATTAGTTTGCCAGTGTGGGAATAACTTCATCCAAAGTAAACCCTGAAATCCTGAGCAGAGACAAATGGCAACTCCAGAGCTGGTGAAGCTCACCTGGTTTCTCTGCTTCTGGGATGATYTGTTTCTTCCAGACTCCTGGTGCTTAGCAGAGAGCTTGGAGGGGCTTGGCTGTGCCTGGGGTCTGAGCCTCTTCTAGGTAGGAACCTTGGTTAGCAGCTGCCAAAATGCTGATACCCTCAAGGATGGAGATGACAGGATGGCAGATGGGATGGCTTGGGATGGCTCTGSAGTCTGGCTAAGGTGATTGCAGCTCAGTTTGTCCATGTAAAGGTGTTTGGGATCCCCTGGCCCTTCTTCCTTCTGTCCAGTGTGGTGCTATGGAACCATCACTTGGCAGTAGAGCTGTCGAGGGTGCTGGAYGATTTGTCTGCAATTCCCTAAACCAGTTCTCCAAAGCAGATTTTGGMGGTGGAGTGTGTTTTCACCAATATTTCTATAAAATCCCTGGAAGAACCTAGGTTTGTACCACTATAAAAGTGAGTCTTGCTCACTGAATTGGTGTGAGTTTGCTACAAGGCCTGTTCTTGCTGCTGCAGATTGCAGGTACGTGAGCTGTGCTGAGATCACTAACCTGAAGCTCTTCCAGCAGAGGTTAGACTCAAATTATTATGGAACAATCTGATTATGATGTTAATGTAATGCCTGGAAGATCAATCCTCTGTGTCCTCTCCACGGATATCAGGTTTTCTGAGATAAACACCTTTTACAACCCCTCTGATAGATTTCTGAGCTGCTGTTCAAACAGGAAGGTGCTTTCTAGCAATCTCTTTCAGTGCACCCAAAGGCCTCTGTCCCCTGCAGTGTCATGGAGTTCATTCTGCCCTGTCCCCCTCATATCTTTCCTTAAAGAGCAAAAGATCCTTTAAAGCACCTTTAAACACGTCCCTTCCAGGAGGCTGTGGAAAGCTGTGAGTTTGTGCACCAGCTTTTCCTCTGATGGAAGGTGTTTTTCCAAAGAGGAGCTCGTTTCTCCCCACCCCTCACCTCCATTGCAAGGTCTCCCATTAGGACCAGAAAAGCCAGACCCCAACAGCCTGTGTTGCCTGCCCTGACCCCAGGCAGAGCCATCCCCATGGCTTCAGGAGGGCAGGAAGCCTTTGGAGGTAAAATGTGAGTGCAGCTGCCAGCTGAGCTGCACAGATGGCCAGAGGTGAAGCCAGGAGGCTCTTGTGGGGTCTGGGTCAAAGCTGGGGTGGGARTGCCTCTCCTGTTCCCACCAGTGTGTGTGACTTGAGCCCAGCCTGGGAGTCAGGATTGGAAGTGTGAGAGCAGCCCCTCTCCACAGAGTGTCCTCTGCTGCTCTGGGGAAGGCTGCTGCAAAGCCATGGGCAATCTTCCAYATCAGCCCTGGCTGGCTGAGGGGCCAGGAGGCTCTGACACGGCGTGGGAGGCACTGGGAGTGCGCTGTGGCTGAGGAGAGGGTGGAGGAATGTGCTGGTCCTTTCCAAGTGCCACGGCCCATCAGGAACTTGGCCTGAATTTCCCTCCCCCTCCCATCTCTCCTATGTGAGCAATTCCTGGGGGCTGCGGGCAGGGATGGGCCCTCCCAGCACATGGCCTGATAGTCCCCATGGATCATTTGCTGCTTCTTCAGCTCAGCTGTGCAGCTGGGGGATGCCAGAAGGAGCTGAGCTCTGCTTTGCTGGAGGGCTCCAGGGAGGCAGGAGGTGTGTGATCCTGATGGGGCTGGGCAAACCTGTGCCCKTGTCCCTGCAGGCATCCCATCCCAGTGCTCTTACATGAGAAGAGGCTCCACTCGCACTGGGTTCTGCTGGACCAGGGGTGCTGTGGGGCAGTGCCTGGTGGGCAGGGGCTGGATGCAAGGGGGGCTGTGTTGTTTCCTCTCCGGAAGGAGAAGTCGTGCCTTTTTGCATGGTTCTCATGACCAACTGATGAGGTTTCAGCCCCTGATCCAGGGCTGGGGTGCACGGAGCGTTTATAATGCCTCTATGGCTTTTGAAGATAAGAGTACGTTAGTTTTATTGCTCCCTTTTTTCCATCCAGGCATCATCCAGAGCGACAAGAGGAGAGGGAAAGCACTCATTTCCTTATGGCAGGGCATTGGTCACTGTGGCCTGGCTCTCCAGTGAGGGGCTGCAGGGTTCCCCACTCTGCCATGCCGTGCTGCAAGGCAAGGGCTTGAGATGGAGAGACTCTTCCCCATCCACCCCCTTTCTGCCCCTGCTTTCCCCCTGGCTGCATCCCACTCTAGTCCTGACCTTGGCTGTGCTCTCCTGTGCCTTTCCTGCAGGGAATCCTGGAGATCCCTCAGCTCTTCCCACTGGTGAGGGGCGAGAGGCCATCTGAGGGGCTGCCTCTGTGCTGTGCTGGCCGGCTCAGCTCCATCCCTTCACTCACGCTTGCCATCAGCAGAGCTGTCCCYGGGGCAGCCTGGGCTCCTGTTCTCTCTGTCCCTAGGCTTGGCCACATCCAGGCTGCCCTCACGGACCTGGTTATCAATAATGAGGAACGTGGCTATTGCAGGAGGCAGAGATAACCACTGCCCCCACATCCATGCACCCAGTGTCCTCCCCTCCCCTTCCCCATCCTCCTTCTCAAGAGGAAAATCTGTGTCAACCTGCCTTACCTTGCCCTGTAGCCAAGTTCTACATCTTTGGGTGCTTTCACATTGAAGGTCAGGAAAGCCAGAGGGGGGAAACGTTCCCTCCCTGAGCCCTTGCTAAAGCAGGGGCTCCCCTGGGGCAGAGCTGGCRGCACGGGGGCCTGGGGAAAGGCTCACCCCTGTTCCAGTGTGATGGGGGTTTCTGTACCCAAGCTCTGCCTTTGCCTGTGCCAGCTGCACTTCTCCTTCCCTTCTGCTCCTTGAATTAAAGCATTAATAAACCCAGCACCAATCAAGCTCTGAACCAAACATTTCAAATGCTTCTTTGTTTAATTAGCGCAGCCTCTGCCCGCAGACAGGGGTGGGAGGTGAGGGGCAAGGACCCAGTGCCCAGGAATTCCTCCTCTTTAAGGTGTGACCTTTTGTACCAACCATTTTCTCTCCCACTCTCTCCACCAGCTGCCCAGAAARGAACATTTGTGGTCAAAGACCCTCAGAACTTGCAGCATCTCCTGGGGGGCTGCAGCCAGCAGGTGAAGCCTCTTGCATGCCCCAGGGCTCTCATTTCCTCAGGGCAGGAATAAATAACTCATCTGGTCCAGGGCTGAGGCTCTGCTTTGTGCCTTGGCCATGGAAATGGGGTCGCTGGCCTTTGCTTGAGATCCACCCTGCTCCTCTCCAGTAATGAGAGGATGGGTSTCTGTGCAGCTGGGGATGCGTGTCTGTGCAGCTCCTTGCTCTCTGAGGAGGGGAGAAAGCATGACCCAACGTTATCAGGRGCGTCTTAACCCCACAGCAAACATGATTTCACTGGTGCAAGGGTGACGTTTGAGWGGGGAACTTGGTGCCTTCCTCTCCRTGACCTAATCTAAATTGTTTTATGAGGGGTCAGCAGGTAGATCAAGGCCTCCTGCTTGCTGGGAGACAGGGAGCCAGGGCGAGGGGGTCCCTGGGTGGCCCTGTGCTGTGGCACGGCAGGGCAGGGGTTCTCTCATGTGGGGCAGTGGTACCTGAGATGGATTAAAATGTGCTTGCTCCTTGGTGGGCTGTGRGGCTGGGCTGCCTGCACCTCCTCTCCTGCCATGCCCTGACACGTGCCCAGCATCGCCCAGTGCCACCAGCAGCCTGTGTGAATGCCATGCTGCTGCTCCTGTGCAGGGCTGCAGCCACGCAGCCTGTCCCTCCACAGCCTTGGCTCCTGCCTGCCCTTCCCTTGCAGCTTTCCACTGTCTCACTGGTGGGATTTTCCCCTCCCAAAACAGCCCCTTCAAGGACCTCAGGGCTCAGGACCTGGCTGTGACACCTCTCTGCAGCTGTGYTGGGCTGCTCAGCCTCCACCGTGGCTAGCAGCTGCCTCTGGTCCTCRGGACCATGTCTGCCACAGGGGTGCCAGTTCTCACTGGGGTGGGGGTGTGGAATGCCAGGGCTCCCCAGCACCTGRGGACTTGGACGTGTCACACACAGGGACAATGAACCCCCCCTATCTCATCACACCTGCACTCCTAGAAGCAAGAAGGGCTGTGGGGACAGAGGGAAGGTGTTGGCTGCTATTATTCCACAGGGAGCTCTGCTTGCCCCCGCTGGCACCTGGGCAGTAGTGGTGCATGGCAACGTCCCAGCGTGGTGCCCAGGGACAAACTGTGCCAGGGAGTGGCCCTCCTCCCCCCAGCAGTGCCCCTGCCTGCCTGGCTCCTGGGGGGCAAAGCCACGAGCTGTGGGGTGGGGRAAGCAGCCCAGGGGCACCTTTCACACCTTGGCCCCCACCACAGCCCCCCTTGCTGGCCCCTACGTGCCGGAGAAAAGCTCGGATACAGTCTGGCTAGAAAGACATATTTATTGCGACATCGGTTTGCAACCGGCACTCACCCCCCCAGCAGCGACTCCAGACCCACGCACATGCCCTTGACCCTGCTGGGATGCCTCCATGGCCAGCGGGCTGGTCCCTGGGGCCACAAGCCCACTCCCCCCGTCYAGGCAGGTTCATTGGGGCTGCAGGCTGGGGTCCCGCTGTGCCAGGGGCTGCCTGCGAGCTGGCAGCATGGAGTAGGGAACAGAAGCCGGATTCAGGGTCCTTCATCAACGTAAGCCACCGGCTGGGATCTCCAAGCAGTCACAAGGCTCTCAGAATCCCAGGGAGAGAACGGGGTCACCCCCCCGAGCACGTGAGAGGGCTGAGCACGGGCGATGCCGCCGTGTCCACTGCTCTTACCGCGTTCCCTTGGTGCCAGCCCGGACACTCTGGGGAGCCGGGAGAGCTGCCAGCCTGCTTCCCACCTGCAGCCACTACACGTATCCTGTCAGGTTGTAGGAATTGACTTCRCTCTTGGTCTTCTGCACCTGGCTGACAGAGGGCCGGGGGCTCTTGCTYGCCAGCAGCTGGGGCTGGTGGGCGCTGGAATAGGCGATCGTCGGCTCCCGGGSAGGGCAGGAGGCGCAGAGGATGAAGCCGCCGATGAGGGAGAGCAGGGAGGAGATGATGCCCAGGTAAAGAGCCTCCCCGAGCTCGAACTTCATGCTGTCGGGGAGGACGGGGTTGCGGAAATCCCGCAGCACCACGTGGATGTTCCACACCAGCGGGATGAAGCAGAGCAGCCCCCCGAGCACAAAGACTGCGCCCCCYGCCACCGCCAGCCGGTCCTTGCCCGGCGAGCCCTGGCTGAAGACGGTGCACCTCATGCCCACGACGGCGAGCAGGCAGGCCAGGGAGGACACGGCGCAGGAGCTGACCATCAGGGCTTGTGCCGCCTGGATGTCGGCGGGCAGGTTGAGCAGGGAGCTGTAGATGTCGCACTGGGTGATGCCCGTGCTGTAGGTGGCACACTCCATCCACAGCCCCTTGGTGAAGCTGACAGCAGTCACGATGCTGGAGCCGATGTAGGCGCTGGTCTTCCAGCTGGGCAGCAGCGTGGCCGTCAGCGTGCCGATGTAGCCCAGGAAGGCCACGGTGTAGCCCAGCAGCTGGAGCCCCATGGACACCATGGTGGGGGCTGGCTGTCACCTACCCAGGGCTCGCAGCTCCTCTCCCAGGTCCCTCCCGTGTGCTCACGTTCCCATGGCCCTGCGAGAGGCTCCGCTCGCAGCGCCGCAGCTCCACCCCGCTGCCGGGGGTGCCGGTTTTGTGTGGGGTGGGAGCTGAGGGGAGGTTACCTGCCAGAGTGGAGAGCAATCCCTCCCGATTAACGATTGACCCGAGCCCGTGGAGGAGCGCCAAGCGCCCTTTCACCTCCGCTATCTCCCCAGCCGGGCTCCCGAGGCAGAGCAGCGCTGCCCAGGAAGGACGCCAAAGCCCTCCCCTGCACTGACGCCGCGGGCAGGGATGGAGAGCCAGCCGCTGGTGAGGGGAAAGTGCCCACTGCCTTCCTGGAGGTTCCTTGTGTTCTGTGACCCGAGCTGAGGWAGTCTAAAAGCTATGGCTGAACCATCTGATTTGGGATCTGCTGGAGGCAACTGTGCAGGTGCCGAACCTGAAGATCTCCCAGCTCAGGAAAGGGGATGGCATCTCATCCCCATCTGCAAGGGGCTCACCCAARGCTTCTGCAGTCACCCATGACCCACCCCGAGCTGCTGAGGCTCCCTTGGGACAATGGGACATTGCCACCTGAGGTTGAACCATGGATATCAGCGTTTCTGTGCTGCTGGGGACAGCGATGGAGAGGGATGCGTGTGATGGTGACTCTCCCCAGGAGAGCCTGGAGGCCCACAGAAGGCAGAATTACATCAGGGCTGGSATTTCCTTCGGGATGGTTCCTGGAAGTGCCCCAGTCAAGCGGGGTGACCTGTCCTGAGGAGGGGTGAGCAGTTWGGGGTGCAGCTCATACTGAGTTTTTCTGCCGGTGCCATCTCCCGCCCACAGCCCTGCTCACGGGTGGGGTGGTTGGCAGAGGTGGTGGAGAGGGTTGGTTTGTTTTCCCTTTGCTTTGTTTCAAAATTCCTTCTCCTGCRGTGCCTTGCGAAACCACTCTGAGCCCCGGCACCGCGGCCAGTGGCCTCCCTCACCCTGGGAACGCTCATGGCTGAGCGCGCTGCCACCACCCAGGGCCTCCCCTCTGCTCCTGTCCCCCTCTTTGCCACCCCAAATGCTTGGCACCAAAGTTTCCCAACTTTCTGTCTCCTCCTGTGTGCTAACCAAGACCTCCCACACCATCTCAGTTGGAAAAGAAACACCTGGGGTGCTCAGGGTGCCAGCAGAAAGGCATGGGAGGGAGCCCTGTGGTACTTACGGAGGTGGCTGCAGGTGCAGGGTGGGACCCAGGACTGGAGGCGGCTGCTCGGGGCAGGGTGAGCAGCCAGGGCCCCAGCCCAGGGGATCAGGGGCTGCACTTGTTCAGCTACAGCTTTGYACAATCCACCTGCAAATCTCCGCCTGGATCAGAGGCTTATTGCAGATCAGAATTAAACCCTTTGGGTGTCGGGAAGGATTGGGGAGCTGGGATGCCTTGCTTTTCTTGTTGTCTGTGAATTATCAGAGTAGATTCACCTAATGGGTTCAGGTTTGGGGCTGGTTGTCACCCTTCTGGACAGCCTTAGTGGCTGGCAGGCGACTGTGCCATCATCCGTGTGTGCACCCCAATGTGCTGGGGYTGGAGGGGCAGTGAAACAGCAGCAGGTTGAGCTCCCCACTCCTCAGAGCCAGCCTGGGATTTTGGTTTTCTCTTCCTGGCCCTGCTTCTCCTCCACGGGGTTTGTTGTTGTAAGACTACTGGCCCAAATGAGGAGCAAATGGGGAAGRTAATGAGAGCTGGGCTGGCCCCGTGCCCCCTCCTGCTCACCGGCTGCCACAGATGGAGAGGGGCAGGGAGGGCCCCTGGTGACAAATTGTGCTCGGAGCCGAGCAGGGTCCGGCCGGCGTTTGGACAGCGGTGTTTGGATGTTGATAGCAGAGCTACAGCAGGGACCATTTGCTATTTTCTTTCCTTGTCCCAAACTGAAACTCTCCCAGGAGCAGGAGGTGACCGTGCTGCCAGTGGCACTTTGACTCGAGAGCTTGGGCAGGAGCAGTGGGCAGGGATGGGATGTGTGGCAGTGCTGGGGATGGGGTGGGCAGGGGTGGGGTATCARCCTTGCACCCTCGTATCGAGAAGCTTTTCTGTACCTCCTGGTGTGGTCTGCATCTTCGAAAATTCAAAGGAGAGGGCAGGGAGCACTGACAAGTGCATGCTCTCCCATCTGTGGAAATGGGATCTGGCAGCTCCCTGGGGTGATGGCTGACTGAGCAAGAAAATTGCCCTGCCAGTGCCTGGGGTCCATCCCTGCCACGTGTCTTCCCTCCCTGTCCTCTCCTGAGCCTCTCTGGAGTCATCACCTGCCTCCTGGTCACTCTGTGCTTGCCATCACTGTAGCCCACCATAGTCCCCATCATGCCCATTAAGTGTCCCCATCCCAAGCCCCCACACTGTCCCCATGGCATGCCCAACGTGCAGTCCCCTCCMATGCACATTGCACTGTCCCAATCCCATACCACTCATGCTGCCCCACCACTCCCCATCCCTTCCCCATCKCCCCATTCCCTTATGCAAATAGCTACAAAGAGCACTTAATCATCCTTGTTAATTGTCTCTACCCTCCCCTGTTCCCCCCCGGGGATTTTCTCACAAATGGTGTCCAAATTTTCCCTTTTGTGTTTTGCTTTTCCACCAGAGATCGCAGCCCCTCCGCCCCCAGCCTCCCCSCGGCCCTGTGTTTACACAACTGGGACAAATTTCACACCGCGGGGACCGCTGTCACCACATCCCCAGCCCCTCGCTCCCCTGCCCCAAAGAATTCGTGAGTCACTGCCGAGGCAGAGCTATAAATGCGTCCCCACCAAGGGTCTGCAGGGTCAGAAGGGACAGTGTCGCTGCCATCATGCAAGCTGCTGCCTGTCGCCTGACTCCCCACGAGCTCCGGGTGTCGGTGGCCAGTGCTTGCCCAGCCCTGGGGATGGAGCAGGGGGAAAGGTATGGGGTGCTGCCCAGGCTGGGGGGAGCGGGGCGGGCAGGGGGGTGTGGAAGGTGGGGTGAGGAGGTTCCAGCTGGGTTTGGGTGAGTGCTGYGGTGCTGGGAACCCCTCCGATCCCAGCGGCCATGGGTGGGACAGAGGGTGCTGGCACCMGGGCAGGAGCTGTTCGGGCGGGCGAGGCTGTGGGGCTGCGGTGGTGTGGGAACAAGGCAAAGGGGATCGGTCCAGGGTGAGGGGCTGTGGCGCTGAACCTGCTCTCTCACCTAGAKCCCTTCCTCTCTGGAGACCGTGGCTGCCCCGAGCCCAGGAGGGACCCGGGACGCGGCGGGAGGAGATAGACCCTGTGAGTTTGACGCTCCCTACTGTGTCTGTCCCCATGCCCATGAGGCTGGGGTCCCTGCTGACCGAAACCCACCCTCCCCCCGAGTCCTTTGCCCCGGCGCTGTTGCACGGCAGTGCCGTGCCCACCTTCCCGGGAGCATCACCCCGCGCCCCACGCAGCCTCCCGGGCTGAACCCCCGGGGGGACACGGCCAGAACAGCCCCGCCACCGGAGCCTGAAAGGGTCGCCTGTTCCCAGCCCGGGMGGGCATTCCTCAGGGGGTTAGTGGGATGCCTGGGCACCAGCTCTTGAGCACGGGGGAGAGATTACACTGGCAAAAAGCCTGTCGGGAGGGTGTGGGGTAGATGCCAGCTTCCTTGCGGCGGTGTGAGTGCCTCAGCTCAGGGGCAGGGGAGGGGGGAGAYGCCGTGTGTGTGGGGCACCAGCACAGGGCACCCTGGTGCCAGCCTGCGGGGAGGGGCAGCGGGAGCCCGGTACCACCCGGCTGTGTCTCCTCAGGCTCGGGCTCGGGCAGCGGAGGGGGACGGCGGTCCCAGCAAAGCGCTGGCGTTCTTCCAGCACCCGGTCAGGTACGTGCCCTGCTCCGGGGCCCCGGGCGGGCGGGAGCGGCGGGCGGGCGGGGGCTCACCCTGGCTCTCCCCACGCAGGCTCCTCTGGCCCAGGTCCAAGGCCTTTGACCACCTGTACAGCGTGGGGGAGAAGCTGCTGGAGAACTTCCCGGTGCAGGCCACCCTCTTCTTTTATGAGGACTCGGGCAGCGAGGAGGAGGAGGAGGAAGAAGAAGAAGAAGAGGAGGATGATGAAGAGGAGGATGATGAAGAGGAGGAGGCGGCAGGAGATGTGACCGCGGGACACCCGCGGCATGCTGGCAGCCCCGGCCCCAGCAGGCCGGCGTAAGGCAGCAGGCGGGGGCAGGCAGACAGCGCTGCAGGCGGCAGCGGGACCAGACCCGCTCGGGGCTCCGGCCAACTCCCGGGGCTGCCCCGGGGCCGCGCCCGCGCTCCGCGGGACCACGGCACGGCTCAAGACTGCAACTCCCAGCGGCCCCCGCGGCACCGCCCGGCAGCCGCCGCCCGCTCTCATTGGCTGTCACTCCGTCTCGAGCTGGGGGCGTAGCGCGTGACCCCGCCCACTGCCCCTCCCGGCGTTCTTATTGCAGGAGGAAGGGGCGCGCGCGCACTGCGGAGGGGCGCGATTGGTCGAGGGACGGGAGTGGGCGTGTCGGGGGCGGGGCCTGCCCTCCCCTGCCCGTCGGCGGGAGGGAGCGGCTGCGGCGGGCGCGGGGCCGCCATGAGGTACCGGCGGGGAGCGGGGTGCGGCAGCGGGGACTGGGGGGGCTGCGGGCCCGCGGCTGGGGGGCTGGAGCGGCAAGGAAGGGGCTGGGCCCGCGGAGGGAGGAGCCGGCTGCCGTGGGGCTGGCGTGGCGTGTCTGGGCGCGCGGGGAAGAGCAGAGCGGCGGAGACGAGGGGGACGTGTCGGTGGGGCGGGGAGTGGGGCTGGAAAGCCATCGCTCAGCCGGGCAGGGGGACCCCGCCATGGGGTGACAAGTGACGTGGGGGTCTCTGTTGTGGGGTGGCAGGTGAGCTGGGGGACCCCACTATGGGGTGACAGGTGAGCTGGGATATCCTGCTGTGGGGTGACAGGTGACATGGGGGTCCCTGTTGTGGGGTGACAGGTGAGCTGGGAGACCCTGCTGTAGGATTAACAGGTGAAGCGGGGACCCTGCTATGGGATAGCAAGTGAGCTGGGGGTCCCTGCTATGGGATGACAGGTGACATGCGGGTCCTTGCTATGGGGTGACAGGTGAGCTGGGGCTCTTGGCTGTGGGGTGACAGGTAGGCTTGAGGGCTCTGCCGTGGGGTGGCACTGAAAGCTGAGGGGGGACTGGAAAGCCCCYGTACACCTGGGCAGGTGGGCTGGGGGTCCCTGCTGCAGGGTGACACATGAGCTGGGGGTCCCTGCCGCGGGGTGGCTYTGGAAGCTGAGCGCAGTGGCAATAATTTGGAGTTGGGTTTGGGCACAGAGGGGCTGTGCTGCCGGGACAGTGTGCGGACCGGCCGGGGACCAGGGAGGAGGAAGGGGTCTGAAGGCTTTTTCGGGAGGGCGACGCTTCCTGCGGGGAGCCCGCGGTCCCTGTGGAGCGTAGCCAGCGTAGCCTCTTCTCCTCGCTGTGGATCTTGGCACGGAAAACCCCCAATATTGCTGGGATCCAGCTGAGCGCTGGCACCGCGGCTACGTGATGCTGGCACTGTCAGCATCCTCCCTGCGCGCCGCGGCGCGTCACTGGGGGATGTGGATCCCCCCGACCCGCACCTGTGTCCCCCCAGCCTGTCTGGGAGGTGTCGCCTCCCCTCTGGACCCCCAGGTCCCCTCGGGCTCTGCGGGGGCCTGGCCCCACGCGTACACCGTGTTTTCGCGGCACGATTTCCTCCTTTGGCATCAGTGACGGGAGCGGGGGCGGAGATGGGGGGAGCCTGGGGGAGACACAAATGTGCGACTGCAGCATCCTCACTCCCATGGCTGCATCCCTCGCGCCTCCTCACGGTTGCCTTAGCAACCTCCTATCGATGGGGTATTTATAGAGGATGGGAAGCCGGAGGGGGGGCTCGGGAATGGGTGGGCGTCTGCTAGGTCAGCCTCCAGCTTCAGGCTTCTGTCAGCCCGTGTGGGGGCAGGAGGGATGCTGCTCCCCTTGGAGGCGTGTGCGGGGCTCCAGCTTTTCCTGCTCGGAGCCAGGGGAGGCGGCCAAGAATTTGCATGTGGAAATAAAAATAAGCATCTGGGRCGTCTGCCCTTCTCACYGGCATYGCTCGTGCTTCTAGRCTTATGTACACCTCCCTGATTGTGRCACTTGGGTGYRTTGACACAGATACTTGGAAGAAACGAAAAGACTGGGAATTCTATTAAACATTAAATTTGCTGYCTGATGTATGATGTGGGAATATCCTTATTTCTGTGTCTTTGTTCTCCTGTCCATCAGAGGGGSAGAATGCCTGTAACAATGAGTGATACAGAGCGTTTGTGTGGGAACTGTGGCAAATTCTCAGTGCTGTGCTTTCTTTTATSCTGGGGCTTTGGGTCTCTTTGTGAAAATTGATGACAGCAGAAGTGGGTCAGGTGGTCCCTGCTCAGAGCCTGTGGGGGAATGCAATGATCCAGAGGCCTCTGAAATCCCCCAGAAGGGCTCAGAGAAGTGGGGTTGGGCTATGGGACACAGGAGGCAGCAGTGTGCTTCTGGTACTCTGCTGCCTTCCCTCGCTCTTGCTTCAACTCCACGAGGTTTGCAATCTGAGCTTCACAAACTGTTGGGAAGGAGCTTCTTTTTGCCTCTGGACACAGCTCTAGGCTTACTTGCCCTCTTACCACTTAAAGTGTAAGAACCTTGGAAAACAACAGGAAACCTGATGGCAGGGAGAGGTGCTCTATTTACTGGAAAGTGGCTTTTGTGAGGTGTGCTGGTGTGAGGCAGCATCAGCCCTTCTGTGTGAAGGGCTGCCTTTCATGTGAAAGGGGAGCTGTGTTTGCAGCCCTGCTGACCCTGGGAATGGCTCTGCTGTCCCTGACCTCACTCCAGCAGAGCGGATCCAAGTGCTTTAGGAATAACTGAATATGTAAAGTCCTGGACCTGAGACCAGCGTGTGGTTTAGTTCCTGCTRTTTCTAGCCACGCTTGCTCCTTCATCCACAATAAATCACTGCAGGAGCTGGGCAGTCCTGTCCCTTCTGTCTCCTGACAGAGCTGTGGCTTTGCCACAGCAAGGTGTCACACGCAGCAATAGTCAGCCCAGGGTAGTCTGATCTGTGGTAGTCTGATCACAGAGAGCAAAGTATGGAAAACAAGCAGATATCCTCTGCTTCTGCAGGGCTTTGTTTAACTTCTGTGGGATTTTGTTTAGTTTGGTTTTGCTTTTGAAGGACAAAAGGTGCTTTTCCAGCTGGAGAGCTGTTGTCTTGGGTGTGCAGGGAGCTCTGTCACTCTTGCTGCTGCCCTTAGCTTGGCCCAGCAGCCAGATTGTGGGTAGGAGTTGCAGAAGTGAGAGCTGGCACTGCTGTGAAGTTGCTCTAAAATAGGATGATTGCTTCACCTGTATCTGTCAATCTCTTGTGGAAGGGAAGAGCACCAGGCTGCTCCCAGCAGTCTGACATGCAGGTCATCTCATCTGCTGGTGAGAAATAGGGTCTGTCTTTCATCCAGTTCTTCCCTTCTTGCTTTGCTGGTCTGCAAGGTCCCTGCTCCTCCCTGGGACCTGCCCCAGCACTCTGGGAGCTGAGGGTGCCCTGAGCCCCTCCAGCCCCTCCATGCAGGCACAGAGTGGGGAGGCARCTGGAATCCTTGGCTCTCTGCAGAGGCACTGCTCATCTGGGATCTGTTGTGGGTCCACCATGCTTCCTGGGTGATGGAGGTTTGGACTTGGAGGGGCTGGAAATTCAAGCTGTCAGTGACTCTTCTTTTTTCTTCCCTGCAGGTAGGCAGGAGCCCCCCTTGGCCGAGTGAGGCAGCATGGCAAGTAAGTGCTCCCCAGGCAAGGTGGAGAGGTGGTGGTGGTGTTGGAGGAGACGAGGGRGTGTTTGATAGACACCTCTCAAGAAAGGGGTGCCTGTGCGTTTTGGGGGGTGTTATCCTCTGTGGGGAGCAGCTGCCTGGATGAGGTCTGAGGTCCGGCCTGACTTGTGCTTCTCTCTCCCCTCTGCAAGGTGGGAGTCGAGAGGARGTGCTGAAGGTCTGACCTCTCTGGGGCTTCCCGGAGGCCACAGGATTTGTGTCTCTGTGTGGTGCTTGCTGTGCAGCACAGGCCTCCCCAGGGCTCTCTGGGCTGCCTGTCTGCACTGACATCTCTCCTCAGCAGTGCTCCTCATGGCCCACGACTGGCACCATGCCAGAGCCCACCCTGGTGGCCACGCTGCCCTGCGTGGCTGGTGGCACTGGGGCTCTGTGTTCTGTGGACTGGCAGCTGCCAATCTCAGCCCCAGCAGGAGCTCGCTGTGGCACACCCAGAGCAGKGCTGGGCCAGCACCAAAGATGGGCTGAGACTGGCGAGGGTGCAGAGGGCTGTGGGGTCTGCCCAGAGCTGGGCTCAAGCCTTGCTCCTCGCTCTCCTGGGCAGCCTGCATGGAGGCTGCGTGCCCCGGTGTGATGGGAGCATGAGGACGATGGCAGGACTGAATGGGGACATGCAGAGATCTGTCTGGGATCTCGGGATTTGCTCGGAATGTCACCGGAGCCAGCTGAAGGTGGAGGCAGTAGCCACGCTGGGGAGGAGGAGSACCCCAGGGATGACAGGTATGCCTTGTTTCATTGTCTGTGCTGTGCTCGGGSCGGGAGGGAGCACAGATCTGCGGGTGGTGTTTTTAAAAGGCAGCTTTAATCTTTAGTTAATGAGGAGGGTGCCCAGCTGGGTCCCTGCCTTCCTCCACTGCTGCCTTTTCTCCTTCCTAGAGCTTGGTGTTGCCTCACCAGCATGTCCTGGTGGTGGAAGGTGTCCCCTGTGGTGGCAGTGTCCCTTGCCAAGCAGTCCYCTTCACGGTGACTCTGATGTGCAGGAGGGGGATGTGGTGATGGGCAGGTTCAGCATCACACACTCCCTGGCAGCCCTGGCAGGGAGCCACAGTCGTTCCCCAGAGGAGCAGCCCCAGGGTGTCCCCCAAGTAGAGCAGCTGACATGTGGGGTGGTGTCCACCAGGGGCCAGCAGCACCCCAGGAAACCCAGCGGGGATAAGCTGAATCCAGCCCTTGCTCCTGCTTCCCCTGCCTAAAGCTCCGATCTTTCCTGAGCACCGGTTCTCCAGCTGGTGTGGGGAGGCTTGGAGAGGCACAGGGGATCAGCACTGAGGCTGCTGGGCATTGGGAGGTCCCCTCAGCCCTGTGGTTTGGGGACAGGACCTGCTGGGCTGTCYGCTCTTGTCAGCTGGGGATCCATTTGGAGATGAGAGGCTCATTTCCTGAAGGCCGGTGGTTTTCCTGCACTGGTCCCAAGCCACTGGCAGCTCTTTGCACTTTCAGGGGAGGGAGCAGTGACTTGGTTTCTGCTTTCCTGCCATTTCYGTGTCCCTGAGGGAAATTGCACGTGGGGAGAGACACTTCTGTCACAGCATGCTTGCAGTTGGGACAGTGCTTGTGGTACCTGCCTGCCTGTGTGTCTGTTTTTATTTCCTACTGTAGTGGCCAGCTCAGCATGGCAAAACAGGGAAAGGGTCGAGTGACTGATATCTGCAGCGATGGAAAACCCTGACAGTGAGATCTGCATCCAAGCTTGTTGCTCCAAGATGGGCTGAGGAAGTTGAAATCTGAGTCTCGGGCTCGAGTGCTCAGGAGGGGAGAATTGATACCACGGCCTGATCAAGGTGGGAGGCAAAGGAGGTGAGGCCAGACTTCTCCAGCAATGTATGGGACATTTGCTGAATGAATGGTGTCTTTGTAAAATTTCATCTCCTTCTGGAAAGGCTCAAGAGAAGGTCAGCCTGCCAGCCTGTTCCCTCTCCAGCCAAGATAGCCCTCCTCAACTGTGAAAGCCAAGGCAAGCTGATCTGCAAGATGCCTTCTGTGCCTCTTGAAAATGCTTTTTTGGTTGTCCTTGTAAAAAAAAAAAGAAAAAAAAAAAAAAGATTTGCATAATAAAGTTGATTCTGAGGGAAGATCTGTGACTCACATCATTCACGCTGCTCTTCATTCACACTTCAGTGGTTCAGCCCTCTGTAAACTCTCTCACAGAAACAAGGCATTAATAAATCACGAGGGGAAAATGCACCTACACAGCACTAAAGGAGCTCAGTGCCTCCAAGCCCAGGATGGTGTAGCACAGTAGTAGTTGTTTCTTACACCATGATCTTGTCCCTGTCGATATTTCCAAACACCTTGTTGTATTGTTTTCACAGCAGGATACATGGAAGGTAAAGCCAAAGGAAACTTGCCTTTCTCCCTGGCAAAAAGSTCTTAAGGAAACAAGCTGGTGGCTTTTCACTGACTGTTTTGCTTGATCTTCACCAAGCTCCTTGTGGAGCCGGTGTTTTGTTAGTGCCAGGCTGGTCAGAATGGAGATTCTGTCCCACTGCCTCCTTTGATGCTGCTGCTGTGTGAGTGGGTTCATCTTGTTTATCCAATGGAAGACTCAGCCTGAGGGTGAAGGAGGTAAATGGGTTTCTGTGGATCACCCAGCTGAACTGATTCRTCTCCCCAAGGGAAGCAGCAGGGTTTTGTGGCTTGGTGGGAAGAGCTGGAACCAGCCTACAAGCTGAGTGTGTTGAACTGGATTGTGAAAACACTCATTCATGAAATGCGTGTTTGGATCCTGGAAGGATCGTGTTTTGTGTGAAGTTTCTGCTCTCTGACCAACAGCTCCTGTGCCTCCTGTGCTGCTACAGGTCCTGGCAGGTGTTKGCCCCCTGCACCCCATGGAGGTGACCCTCCTGCAGGATATGGGGGAGAGCCTTTGATGGCTCTTGCAGGCAGGAGGGTGCTGTTGCTGCTCCCTCTGCCTTCAGGACTGCATGCTCTGTGGAGTCTTGAGGAGTCTCCCAGGCTTTGGGAGCAGAGGAAAGTTTGTGAGGCCTCTGCATCAAAACACAGTGGGGATGAGAATGTGATGCCATGTGAGGAGAGGTTGCTCAGGGCGCTGGCTTGTGACCCCCTGCGCTGTCCCTGTGTTTTGGGGATGTTTATCCTTGTCCCGGGCCTGGGAGAAGACACTGTGGTTTCTGTAGGGCCTGGACAGAGTCCTTGAGCTTGCATGAGCCCTCGGCAGCTGGCAGCAGGGACAGCAGCTTGCAGCAGGYTGTCGTGTGTTGAGCTGTGTGCTGTGAGTCCCTCTCAGTGCTGGCCCTGTGTCCTGGCAGAGCTCTGTGTCCCAGCCCTCTGGGGTCTTGCTCTCCTGGTGGGATCTCCCTTGCCCTGCAGCAAAGGGGCARAAAGGTGAAATCCATCGAGGACAGGAGGTTGAAAACAATTATATTTTGAGCCTCCTGTCTCTTCCTCAGTTGCTCCGTGTAGCTGCAGCTGCTGCTTCTGATGTCTCTAGTACCACAGAAGGGCTCCTGGTGCCATACATCTCTGGGCAGACCCCAAGAGTCCTGTGCCTCTCTGGGTGTCCTACCTGATTGAAGCCCTGGGTTTTTTGTGTTGGGGATGCATGTAGCACCAGGAAGCCAGGTGGGAAAGCCTGGCTGGGCAGAGGCCAGGTCTGGGGTTGTTSCTGCTCAGCATGTCTGTGCCTTGTGTGTTGCAGTGTTCTTGGGGGCCAGGAATGCCCACTCGCTGCTGAAACGCTTTCCCAGAGCCAATGGCTTCCTGGAGGAGATCCGGCAGGGCACCATCGAGCGCGAGTGCATCGAGGAGGTCTGCAGCTATGAGGAGGTCAAGGAGGTGTTTGAGAACAAGGAGAAGACGGTGCGTTTGTCCTGCCCTGCTCCCCAGTGCATGTGTGAGGGCTCACGCCTCGGCAAGCTGCAGGCAGGAGGAAAGCATAGGGGGGAGCAGCTTGTCCTGTTCCTTTTGTCCTCTTCTGTCTGCAGGCAGCATGTTGTGGCCTCACTTCCCAGCATGGCTTTCCCTTTCCCTTCCCAGGCAATGGCCCCACCTTGGTTTTGCCAGGACACCCTGCCCACAGCTGCAGGTCGAGCTGGTGCTCCCATGGCACATGTGGCAAATCTGTGCTGTTGCCCATRATTCTGGGTTGGGGTTGGTGTGGAYTAAATTTGTCACCTGCTCRGTSTGGGGGCTGTTGAGGGACAGTCCTGTGACTTTTTGTGTTTGTTCCCACAGAGCCTCAGCTGAAAGGAGTGGGGGACATCCCAAAAGCCAGCCCTTTTGTGGGCCTGGGGAGGGCAGTGATTATCATTGCTGATGGTGTTTGGGGGTGCTTCTCCCAGTTGCAGCAGGTGATGGTTGTTCCTCTGTTTGTGCTGCAGATGGAGTTTTGGAAGGGCTACACCAGCTCTGTGTACTCTGTCAAGGACCCCGGGCACAACACTGAGCGCTCTGATGCTATGTACGTGGTGGTGCCCCTCCTGGGAGTGGCTCTGCTCATAGTCATCGCCCTCTTCATCATCTGGAGGTGCCAGCTGCAAAAGGCCACCCGCCACCGCCCTTCGTACGCCCAGAACCGTTACCTGGCCAGCCGGACGGGCCGCAGCCTCCCCAGGGTGATGGTGTACCGGGAGCGCTCGCAGAGCCAAGGGGAGACGCAGTACCAGCGGGAAACCAGCAGCCGGGGGGCCGGCGAGGGCAGAGCCGGGGGCACCCCGCAGCCAGAGGGCACCCTGTGCCCGCCCGAGCACTCTGTCTCCGTCCTCTCCAGACTGTCCAGCGCCACCCCCCCGCCCTCCTACGAGGAGGTGACGGGCCACCCGGAGAGCAGCAGCGGCGAGGAGACCAGCGTCTCCTACAGTGACCCTCCGCCCAAGTACGAGGAGATCGTGGCCACGGCCCCCGCCGCGGGCAAATAGCGGCTCCGCCTCCCTCCTGCCTCTTCACACACTCACACTCACCCGGCCACCCTCCCTTCGCCGTGCCTGCGACCCCCTTCAGGTGTCCTTGGGGCACCGTCTCACCTGTACGATCTGGTGCCATCACACAATAGCCTTACCCTCCTAACCAAAAATAGCTGTCCCCAGGTGGGGTGAGGCAGGACTGTGGGGTGGCTCTGGGGCCAGCCAGCCGTCTCCTGCCCCTCACTCCCCACTCACTAAAGTGCTGTAGCAGCCAGAGCAGAGCAGCAGCTTCTTCCTGGCTCGACGCGGGGGTCTCCCCATGGTGCATTTGATTTCCTCACTTCCCCCTCAAACAGACATAACATTTCCCACGATTAGAGCAGCCTCACTGCCTCCCTGGGCTGCTGCTCAGCCTCACTCCATGTCCTCACCAGGCCCTGTTGTACTGCTCAGCACTCTGATCAGGAGTTGGGGATGCAGGATTGATGTGGCACATTTTTGTCCACCCCCGCAGCTGGTGGGGCCAGCTCTGTGTTTGGGGAGATGGTGCTTCCCCCATGTGGATTTGTTGCCAAGTGGGAGTGGGGAGCCTGGACCACMCTGTGGTGCCTGTAGTGATATTTGCTGTCTGGAGATCAGGGAGGGGCAGTCGGGAAGGTGCTCTCTGATCTCCCAGATCCCTTTGGAAAGGGGGAAAGGGYTCATCATGGTCTTGCACCTGAGGTAAGTGACTTTGGAGTAGCAGGGTCTTTTGTTCTCTGCTTTCCCCCTGTGAGTGCTGAGCAGTTGGAGGTCTGCACCAGGGATCGTCTCTGACCCTGAGCCAAATGTGGTCTCATGGCTTTAAGTGGTGGGGATGCTCCTCTCCGGACTGATGCCCTGTTTGGTGTCTGCCCCAGAGGTGCAGACAGGCCAGACCTCCCCTCTCCGTACCCGAAACCTCTCTGCCCTGCCTGGCCCCTCCCTTTGGGGCTCTTTGTCCTCCAGAGCAGGTAAAGTGGAACATGAGACCCCACTCTTCTGRCCCCTCAGGTGGGCTGAGTGTTTGGTGTCCAGGGCTGTGGCATGGAAGTCCTGCTGACAGCTGGGAGCCATGCCTTGACAGTCAGGAGCAGGGCCAAGCCCTGGTCGAGTGGTTGTGCTGCCAGGGCAGGGCAGAGCCAGGTGCTTTGCTGTGGGATCACAGTGTCCCCTGTCCCTGGGCAGCTGCCTTTGGGGTCCAGGCAACAGGACTGCCCTCCCCCAGTCATGTCTGATGGATTAGAATGGGCTGTGCTCACCAACCCCCCGGAGCAGCCCAGAAACTCCCAGCACTGCCACCACCCGGTGTTCACSCAGCACCAATCTGTCCACCAGCACTAAGGCTATTGTCTATCCATCAGTGGCCTGCATCCTGCTCGGCTCTAGAGATGCTCTCGCAGTTGGTGCCCCCAGCCCAGAGCTGAGGCTTGCCCAGCGTGGCTGTTCCTGGGCAGGACATGCTGGCACCTTGTCTGTCCCCTCCCCAGCCTTAGCAAATCAGGGTTGCGGGGAGATCCAACAGTGAGAGTCAGGGCCAGAGCCTGGAGAACGCCAGAGGGAGACACGAGGGTGCTCTGCATCCTCTGTCTTTGATGCTCAGTCATTATCCCTGCAGTTTGTATTCTGTAAAACTTGGTATATTTCTGTGCAAAAAAAAGGTATTTATTAAAAAACCCTCACTGTCTGAGTGGCGCAGGGTGGCTTTTTCCACAAAGGGTGWTGTGGGGGACAAAGACAGCAATACCCCCTTGCCATGGCTGCTGGACCATCTCCAGTGAGGATGGGAACATCTGAGAGTGAGTGAACTCCACACATCCAGCTAGAGCCTTGAACTTCACCTGGGCATGTGGTGTACTCTCTGAGAGCTGTAGAGTGTCCTGTGAGCCCCATCCAGATGGCAGGTGAGGTGCAGAAAGGTTTTCTGCAGGTCTTTGAGGGATTGAGGTGTGCAGGTTGCCCTGCTGTCCTCTGTGTGCTCCTAAACCCCTTAGATAATCCCCTTTAAATAGCAAGACTAGGGCAGCGGCGGATTTATTTTAAGTCCTTTCAAACCCAGATTTTACGGTCAGGTCTCGGACCCTGTCCCTATTCAGAAGTGTTTAAAACTGCCGCTAATCCCAAAGGGATCATTTTATCGTGGCGGAGGGGCACAGATTAACCCTGGCACACGGCAGCCCCGGGGTTGAGCCGGGCCGGGGGCTGCGAGGAGCGGGCTTTGCCCGCCAACGGCCCGCGATGGGGACATGGGGAAGGTCCTGCGTTCGTTTCTACCCTTGGTGAGAGCAATCCCTGGGGACAGAGGGGTTCCCGGGGGAGCGACACCACGATGAGTCGCAGCGCGTTAATTACCGGCTGCGGCTTTAAGCGAGGCGGGACCGGCTGGCAGGGCTGGATACCGGGGGTAGGGCTGAGTACCGGGGGGTAGGGCTGGATATCGGGGGGACGGGCTGGATACCGGGGGACGGGCTGGATACCGGGGGTTGGGCCAATTACCGGAGGGGCTGGGCTGGATACCGGGGGGAGGGCTGAGTACCGGGGGGGCAGAGCTGGATACCGGGGGCCGGTCTAATTACCGGGTGGTCGGTCTAATTACAGGAGGGGCCGGGCTGGGTATCGGGGGGCAACGGCTCGGTACCGGGGGCAGGGTTGGATACCGGGGGCCGGTCTAATTACCGGGGGGTCGGTCTAATTACAGGAGGGGCCGGGCTGGGTATCGGGGGGCAACGGCTCGGTACCGGGGGCAGGGTTGGATACCGGGGGCCGGTCTAATTACCGGGGGGTCGGTCTAATTACAGGAGGGGCCGGGCTGGGTATCGGGGGGGAACCGGCTCGGTACCGGGGGCAGGGTTGGATACCGGGGGCCGGTCTAATTACCGGGGGCCGGTCTAATTACCGGGGGCCGGTCTAATTACCGGGGGCCGGTCTAATTACAGGAGGGGCCGGGCTGTGTACCGGGGGCCGGGCTAATTACCGGGGGGCTGGAYTCCCCCGGCCGGCACCGCCCCCGTGGCGGCAGCGGGCGCGGCTGTTTACAGGTCCGACAAGTTGCGTCGGTCCGCCAGAAGCAGTAAGTGTCCCTCCCGGGCCGGGGCTCTGCGGGCGGCGGGAGCCTCTGCAGCGTCCCCCGGGCCAGGGGCGGGATGTGCCCCCCGGGAGGGCGTGGGACCCCCCTGCCCCTTCCCCGGCCGGGTCCCCTCTCGTGTGTCCGCTCAGCCCCGCGGGGAGCAGCGCCCGGAGCTATCCCGGGGGCAGCGCGCTCAGCCCGGGCCGGGTGAGGAGCCCCTTCCCCTCCCCGTGAGCCGCTCTCAGCTCATCCCCGAGCCGAAGGGCAGAGCCGGGAGCAAACCCTCTGCTCCCTCCAGCACCCACCCCGAGAGGTGAACAGGGGGTGCTGCACCCGGCTGGCACCCCGCCTGCCTTGTTCGGGGTGTCCTGGGCTGGAGAGGGACAGAGAGGGGGACGTTGTGGAGTTTCCCTCCCCAGGGCAGGTTTTCCTGGCTTGCAGGACTTAAACCTACTCCGGCTTAGTGAGCCGGAAATTCGCTGTCACTGCAAATCCAAGGAGAAGTGCCAAAGCAGAGGCTGAGCCTCTCCAGGCGAGTGGGGGGTGCTTGGCAAGAGCTCGAAAAAGCCCTAAAGAAAGTTAAAGGAGGAAATCCAGCCACTTAGGCATTTTGTTCTTATGAGTTTTGACAGCTGATTTTTTTTTCTTTCTTAATAGCTTAGTCTCCCAGAGCCTGCTTCTCACTCCCTCCTATGCCTCTGTTCCTTGGGAGCTGCAGTGGTTTCACAGGTGATTAGAAAATGAACCGATCTGCCCTCTCCAGATTTACTGTTGTTAATATATGCTGGTTTCCCGGAGAGCAGGCTGAGAGTAAAACTCTGAAGCACCAAAATGTGAAGAAGAAACCCCGTGGTCTCTGTGGCTGTGGATTCTGGGCTGGCTGGCTCATTCAGATTTCTCCTGGGGGACTGACACCCTTTGGGACCATCATGGGAATTAGTGTCCTGTTTCTGAGTGGGGGTGTTCTTATAAAAATCCATTTTCTTTGAGGTTTTGRGGAGAAGTAGGTGCATGTTTATGATGAGACCCATGGATTGGGGCTGGGCAGGGTGGTGGGGATGGTGTGGGGCAGTCAGGGGCTGCTGGGTTCTCCTGGGTCCCCAGCAGTGCTTCCAGGACAGACCCCATGSAGGGACAGCAGTCTGCAGGGCTGGAAGCAGGGAGTCACCGCTGCTGATGCTGGGAAAATGCCTGTGTAATTAAAAGGTTTTTAATGACAGAGGAGGAGAGAGCAGCACGAGGTGAGTGATCACTGGAAGTGCTGGTTGTGGCAGGTGCAGAGCTGGTTCTGCCACCCTCCTGTACCTGGTGTCTCAAGGCCTGGCTTCTGCGGGGGACAGGTCCTGTGACCCTTCCCCAGGGATTTCCTGCTGCTCCTCTACCCTGGGTGAAATCCTAAAGGGTTGCAGGTGTCTAGGGAAGGTGAGAGGGTGCAAAATGCCTCGAGGAGCAGCAGCAATTGGAGCTGCTGGCCCCTCTTAGGGTGCAGATTCTTCCTAGAAGCAAAGAAGGACTTTTTTGGGCTCAAAGGACCTTTTGGTGAGCTCAAAAGGTGGCAGCAAGGAGGGTGCAGGGGTGCTGTGCATGGGTATCTGCAGTGTCTGGGCAGCACTGTGGTCAGGCTGGGGTCTGCCAGCCTCAGCAGCTCTCACTTGGGGTTTTCTCCTTGGCTGCAGCTTTTTGGGAAAGAATGAGGAGTGCATATTCTGGGAGCTGGGAAGGTGTCTGTCGGGGCTTCTCTCCCAAACGTGTACACTGATTGCCCTCTGCCTGCATGGCTCAGTGAAGGGCTTGGGACACTGGCCCCAGGGCACTTCTTAAAACCCTGGGACTTGGCAAAGAGGAAACTGAGGCACGAGGCTGTTGTGTGTCCTGAGCTGCAAACCCCAGGGAGTGTCTGTGCCCGTGTCTGTGTCCCATGTCCTGGTCCTGGCTGTTCCCAGCAGTGGTCACAACTGGGGGCTGTGTCCCTCCTTGGTGGTGCTGGTCCCCTCCTGGATGGAAGCCGAGCTGGGGGCTCTGCTCCAAGCTGAGGAAGGTGATGAGTGTTCTTCCTTCCTCTCTGGGAGGGTGGGTCAGCATCTGGCAGCTCTGCTCAGGACAGAGTCCATCCTCAGCTGGGTGTGGGTCMCCTGAGGAATGGGTGCTGGATCGTGGGGGGAATGGGATATGGCCCTGGGGATACTRCAGTGAGCCTCCATGGGGAGAAAAACTGAGCACAAAACCCTTTCCTGCGGTAACCTGGAAGCCCATCACCAAAATGTGTGTTTTGCWTGTGGAAAACCTCATTTTTCYTCAGAGGTGGATATGARCACAAAAATGTGATCCCAGCCYTCCAAAAAAYATTACTTCTGGATGGAAAATAATTGTTTTTCACTRGTTTTTAGGGTACACTGAGCTGCGTGCTGAGCCCTTTCCTTGCTATCAGTTAAAGCAGTAGTATCAGAGCTCCTATATGACTCCCAGGACACCTGCAGCCTTGTCCCTGCCAGCTGGGCACTGGGGACACCCCCTTCTCCCAGCCAACTCTCTTTTGGGTTGTTTCTGCCCATTTTACCTGTCTCATAGCACGTTGTGTTGTCCCTGTGCAGGTGCAAGAAGAGCTGCCCATTGTCACTTTCAGAAGCGCTGCTCCTGTTGTCACCTTTCAGCTTTCTTCCCCTCTCTGTGGAACCCCAGGGTGCTCAGGACATCTGAGGACACCCTCAAAGATGTGGCCACTTTGGGGACTGGACCTGAACCGGGTGCGCTGTGACCTGCTCTTCACAGAAGCCATCAACCAGAGGATGCAGGTTCCCARCAGGCTGAAGGTGGCAGAGAGCTGCAGCCCTGGGGACAGGGGGCCGGTGACAGAGGATGTCCCTGCRTCCTTCCGCATGCACATCCCTGATAGGATTTCTCTTGCGGGTAAACTCTGGGTTGTGTTTTGGGGTGGCTGACAGTTGGTGGGGCACATCTGAGGGAGTAGGATCCCTTGGTAAAGCTCCCCCGGTATTTTCTTTGCTAGAGGAGAGGGTGGGGGCAGATAATTCAGCCATCTTTCTTCAGGAATGTAGGACAGGATGGTGGGTGGCTTGGGAAGAGGTGGGCAAAGATCATCAGCAGAAATCAGGAGGGCCTTAGTTCCAAGAGATGAGGAGCAAAATGTGGAGGCATCTCCCTCCACACCTGTTGGAGCTCCTTCTTGGCCTTTGGTAGGGTCCTTGCTTTGGGATGCAGGACRTTTGGCTGTCTTTGACACACACCTCTGTCCTGGAGCTGTGATTTGCCTGTCAGGGCTGTCCAGAGCAGCCAGGACATGGTGTTTGTGCATCTGGCACTGGACACAGGCCTGACTGCCCACATGGGTGCATCTCTCTTCTCTCTTGAGGCCATTCAGGTCAGCTTAACTCTTCCTGTCTCCTCTCTGTAGAGATATCAGACACCAGTCTGAGGCCAGTCCTGCTGACCCAGCCAAGGAAGGTCCCCTCTGTCGTGGTGCACGTGGCCCCAGACCCCTCTGGGGACCTGCCCTTCGTGCCCTCGGCCAGCAGACCCAGCGCCCAGAGACGCAAGCGATCGGTACCGTACGGGCTGGGGGGTGTGCCTGTGGTGGGGAAAGGGAACAATCCCACATTTGGGGTTCTCCAGGGGGCTGTTATCACCCCAAGCCAGGATCCATCATCCAGGACGCCCTGGGAGTGAGGGGTAGGGATGGTGGGGTCTCTTTGTGCCCCATAACCAGAGCACACCTCTGAGCTGGGATGGTGATTCCACCAGGTCTGCTGCTGCATTTTGGGAGCAGGGTGTAGGGTAAGGTGGGTGCAGTCCCACCACAGGCTGCTACTTTTAATATCCCTTTTCAACCTGTTTTGATGAAGTATGAGGCAGAGCTGGTTCATCACTGCAGTGTAAAGGGCTCTGGGGTCAGAGCCAAAAGCAGATTTTAACCTTGTGTGAAACTCTTTTTAAAGAGAGGTCCCAGGCATGGGCAGGGAAAAATTTGGTTTGGAGCTGCTGTTCTGCTTCCTCGAGTGCTTTAACCACCCTGAAATTCCAGAGCTGATCCTGGATGGGTTATATTCAGGGTTTTTGATTGGGATAGAGTTCAGGTCAGCAGGCTCATGCTGGGGACCCTCTGTCTGCTCTGAGCACCACATCAGTTCACCAGGCTGGGGCTGCAGCAGTGCTCCCACCACTGAGCAGTGTCCCTGTGCCGATGGTCCCTGGCTCTCCAGCCTGCTCAGGGCACCAGGCTGGGCTCAGCTCAGTGCCCCTGTGGTTGTGTTTGATTCCCACAGGGCCACCACAGCAGCAGGTCCCGGCGGGAGAGGACCCTGAGTGACTGTGCCCAGCTGGCCTTGCACAGCCCAGGACAGCAGCAMGAGGGGTGAGCACAGGTCCAGGGACACCTGGGGTGGGTGAGGAGCAGCATCCCCTCTCCCTGGGCTGGTTTGGAGCCYTCTGGTGTTGGTGTTTCSAGAGGGGCATGGGGRATCCAACGCCTGGCAATGCCTACACATCCATGAGAGGAGCGTGGCCTTTGGTGTCAGAGATGTTTGTGCTGGGCAGCTTTGAAGGACTCTGTGTTGGTCCCCAGGCCATGGCCTCGGGCTCCAGAGTCTCTGCAGTGGGGAAATGGTCTCTGAGCTGACCCTGGAGCAGGGACTGCTGTCTCCCTACAAGTCCAGATTGTCCTGGGTGGYRGGAGAGCAGCATGGCACACAGCCAKGKTTGGCTTTGGGGAAATCAGACTCTGCCTCTGARTCTGGGGGCTGCTGGAGAGGGTTCTTGGGGTCTGGGTGCCAGTGGCATTGCCCAGAGATGCTGGAGCTGCTGAAGGGATGGAGGGCAGTGCCCAATGCCAGGCTGTGCCCTGTTGTTCAAGGCCAAGGAGTAACAGGCGTGATTCTGTGTGCACCCAGGCTGGACACGTGTCCCCTGCCCGCTCCCAGTGCCCCACTCCCCCTCCTCACRGAGGCAGGCAGGATCTACTCCATGCAGAACATCTTCCAGACCATGTACCTGCTGGGCCAGGTGCTCCTCCACCGTGTCCAGGACACTCTGCGGGACCCAGCGCTGCCCAGGTGACATCGACTTGTCCTGAGCCAGCTCTGTGTCACTCTGCAAGGACTGGCCTGTGCCTTGCTGAGGCAYGAGCTCTGTAAGCTCTGGGCTGCAGGATGGTCCTGCATGGCTGCCTTGGACCTCCTTTCTCACCTGTGCTGTCTGCCAGCTCTGGGGGCCAGGCCTTGGTGCATCTCACTAACCCAGCCAGGCTGGAGTCTGCTGCTCAGCCTAACACCGGTCCCTGGGCACCCCGAGTGACCCAGTGCTTGCTGGGGGCTCACTGCTAAGCGAGGACTAACTCTTCTGTATGCTTTGGTAGCTCGTTGGAGAGGGGTGTGTGAAGGGAATCAACACCCAGAGCAGACAGCCTGACCCAGGTCCTGTCCCTGAGACAGGCTCCAGCACCTTCGGCCATGTCTTGGTCACTCTTAATTAGTGARCTTTGAACTAATTGAACTGTCCATGAACTGGCTGCCCCCAGGTGCCCCACTAGCTCACAGCCAGTGGCCCTGGCCAGGGTTTGGGGTGCCTTTGTGCTCCCTGGAGCAGGTGTGCAGCAGCCTCGGTCCCCCCAGGTGTGCTGGAGGAGCCATCTGCACCCCCTTATCTGTGCCACTGCGATAAATTCTGTTTGCTCCAAGACATCCTTGCAGCCTTAAGGTGTCCCCATTGCTCTGAGGCTGCTGAGCACCTGGAGGAACATCTAAATACTTCTCCTTGAGCAAAGCCTCCAGGCAGAAGGGGAGGAGTGGGAGCATCCATCATCGCATCCATYGTCGGTGGCACATCCTGCCTCCCTCCCCAGCTGGCTGCTGCTTGCTGCTGGTGCAAAGCAGTGTCTCTGCTTTTAAAAACACCAGGCTGAGGCTGTCTTCAAACATTATTTTAATTTCTTAATGACTGAGGGATGTGATTAGTGGCTAGATAAGACCTTGTCCCTCCTGGCTCCAACAGTGGAGGACGTTCAGGCCAGGTCAGCCTGCAGAGCTGCTGTGATRCAGTGGGATGACCCCGGGGCTGCTCCCCAAATCTTGATCTCCCTKTGAAACCAGCCACCCTCAAACACTTCTCTTAGTGCTTTGCATCCCTTCAGGTGCAGACAGAATCTCTTCAGTAAGACAYTTTTGTACCCCTCTGCCACAATGAAATAAACCAAAATACTCTGCTGACCTGTTTGTCCTGAAATTTTGGTGAAGTCTGGTCTCAGACAGAGACTGGAATATCTGGCTGACAGTGACCTCTTGAAGGTRTGAGTCATCAGATGGTAATTTCCAGTCTCTACTCTGAAGGGTGTTCACCTATATCAGCTGGGATTTTCAGACAAAAGCTGCAGGATGTGTCCTTTTTTCATGGTTCTCTACCGGGGAAAATTACATTTTCTTTCTGTTGTGGCTGTCATTTTACACTGCAGCTACATTTTGTGGAGGTATTATCTCACGAGTGGAGTTTCAGACAGATAATCAGTGCATCTCCACGTGCTCCTCTGGCTTGTCTTCAACAAAATCAACATCATGTTGCAAACAGGAATAAAACCCTCTCGTCCCCTGGRTCTCCAAGGAGTGGGGTTAGGTGCTTGTCAACCCCTGTGGGATCACTGAGTGCCTGTGTGAGTTATTGTGCACGAGGGAGTTTTGGTTGTAGAATAGCTGATTTTGGGCTAGCCTGTGATGGCAGGAATTCTTACTTTTCTCACTGTGGATCTACTTTGTGACTCAGTGCTGTGGATCCTGGGTGAGGCTGTGCCTCCAGGGTCTGCCTTGGAGATCTGTGGTCTGTGCTGTCTTTGCAGTGCAGCAGCTGATCCCAGTGGGAGCCCCTGTGTTTCCAGGCAGGGAAGGAAGTACTGAACATTTGGGTTGCTTGTTTATGTTTCAAATTGCAGGTAAAATTTGCCACAAAGAGCAAAAAGTGATAGCTCCCTCCAGCTGATGGCAGCTTCCTCACCTGCTGCTGTAACTGAGATCACCCCTCCATTGCTCCTGTGATACCCATTTCCCTGACTGCTTCTAAAGATGATTTATCCAGCCCTCAGTGAATTCCTGGGACTGCAGAGAATGGACCCATCATAGATATGTTTTCTCTCTGTTGGACCTCTAGAGAAATCCAAGCATGTGTTTCTGTGTTCCCCTTGTCTCTGCATGTGCTGTGTGTTTGTCCTGATGGCTCTGGGTGCATGCAGGAGGGGTGCAGATGTTCCTGGTGGGGTTCAGACAGGATGAGGGGGTGCTGTGCAGGTGCTGTTTGCTTTCCCCTGGTGCTGCACCAGCCTGGGCACACAGTGTCTTCCTGGATGGCTCAGCTCCCTGTGGCCATGCTGCGTTTTTGGGGTCTCAGCTGCACCCCTCGAGCAGTGCCTGTCCACCTGCATCTCTGCTTTCCTTCCCCAGCTCCCAGGAGTCCATCCCAGCTGCAGAGAGCGCCCTGGAGGAGGCCGGGGTGACAGAGGTGGCAGCCATGAGGAGACAGGTAAGATGGGGTGAAGGGCTGCAGATGTCCCCTGGGATGGCCACAGGAGGGGGGTGAGGGGACTTTGGGGGTCACTGGCCACAGGAGGGGGAGCTCCAGGGGTCACTGGCCACAGGAGTGGGGTGAGGGGGTCCAGGGGTCAGAGGCTCAGTCCTGATGGGCTGGTGCTGTCAGGCTGGTCCTGCCTGATGGAGAAGCAGGAGAGGGCTTCCATGTGTGTTGATCCATGGAGCTCCTGCCCCGAGGGGCTSCAGGAGGGCTGCAGGACACAGCCAGACCCCTGTGGTGGCAGAGAGAGGGGCTCAGGTGCTCTGTGATGGGRAGAACCTCTTCCTGAAGCATCTGCTACACACCCGAGGCACTGCTGCCAATCCTCCCACACCAAGGCAGCTGCTGCTTTACAAGAGGAGGACCTGGAGGCAGCAGCTCCCATCCCTCCATCCCTTGCTGTCCCCAGTGCTGCTGGGATGCTGCCTGTGTTCCTGCAGGGCTGACAGTGCCCTGTTCTCCCCTTGCAGCTGGCCAGGATCTCGGGGCGGCTGCGGGCGCTGGAGGAGCAGTGCCACGCCTGGAGGCAGAAGGAGGCCCTGGTGTACTCGGTGATGATCTCTGCRTGCCTCATCAACACCTGGCTCTGGCTCAGGAGATGACAGCCCGTGCCTGACCTGCCCTGCTGCCCTGGCACGGGGGTGAGGGCAGGGACAGGAGCATTGCCAGCAGTGACACTGTTCCTTCTTGGCTAGGACTGCTTTTTGCACTGTGGGCTCTCAGGAATGTGTCCTCCAGGCCTTGGTGACAGTGGAGGTGTGGGGAGCTGCTGTGAACACTGAGGTCTCCTGAGAGCTGGGTGGCTGGCACAGGAGGTGCCTGCTCTGTGCAGTTGCCCTCAGGCTGACAGAGGAGGTGCAAACCCCCCAAGGCATTGGGTGTTTGTGGACGTGGGGTCCTGTTAAAGCCAGCCTGTGTGGGGCCCAGTCCCCTGGCCACATCCCACATTGGAGAGCTAGCTCTGACCCCATAAAATCTCTCAGCTGACCCATGGGGTCTGGTCCTCCTCTTCTGCAGAGTGATTGAGTGTTTCTAAACTTGTAGTGGGTTTTCTTTCCCTCCTTGTGGAAGGCAGTACTGCCAGGTCTCCTGTGCCACAGCTTCTCATCCAGGAGTGGAGCTGGAGTCCAGGAGCTGCCATCCCTGCRGTGCTGTGCTCCACCCCTGCCAGCTCCCATCCTGCTGGAGGCAGCTCAAGAGCAGATGTGCAGACCCAAAGTAAGAGCCTTGCTGACATCTGGGTTTATCCAGGAGCTTGGTTCTTCCCCAGAGAGATTTACTGGGAAAACCTCCCCATGATGACACTCTGGATGATAAAACCTCATACCAACAGTGACAGCACCAAACAGGTCAGGGAAAATAGAAATTTGTCAGGCTCCCAGTGCCTGAGGGGAGTATTGCTACCAGGTCAAGCTGTAACTTCAGCGATGGTACAAGAACMCAGGTGAGAGGAATTCCTGACCCAGATGTTCTTTAGCTGTAAACAAGCTCAGTTCAACAGCTTTTCTGCTTGTTTCCTTCTCTGGAGTTTAGTAACACTTGCTTCTGAGGTGACTTTGAGATGTTTTTGATGGCTGGTCCAGCACATCTGCTGGAGTTGTGCCTGCAGGCCCTGGGGGCAGGTTTTGGCAAGGCTTAACAGGACCTTTCTGTGCCACCTAAACCTAATTATAGCTGGATCCACATGTCATCCAGGTGTCCCAATAGCTTATTTACAGACATCAGCGCTTGGGTGTTTTCTGCTTGACACGGCGTCAAGCGTCCGTGACTGTAAATCTGGCAGCTGGACAGTGACTAATAAATAACTGTCCCCAAGTAATTGCAGGTCTGAACCTGTGGCTGATTGCTGAGCTGAGGAGAGCACTGGGATTTATCACATATGAGAGGCAGGATGGTGTGGTGGGCTCGGTGTGCTGTGCTGTGCTGTGGTGGGGTGTGGACAGGTGGCTCCAGGTGCTTCAGGGATGTGGTCGGGGTCACCAGAGCACCTTACACAACTGTTTTGTGTAACTGGGTGTGAGTGGTGCCAGAAAATGGGGTAAATTGTCTGGTTTCTCTCCTTTGGGAGAGGTATTGGCATGTTTTGGAGGAAGCTTGTGTTTGGGGTTTATTTTAAGCTGTGTTTTAGGGTGAGAAGGGATGACTTGGAGAGGGCACCCCACCTTCAAAGTATGATTTGAAGGTGTTTGGAGGAGAGCTGATCAAACCTGATTTGTTCTCATGGGCAAATTCCTGGGCAGGTTGTGGAAGATACAATATGACTTCTGTGTAAGGCATGAATTCTKGTGTAAATCTGGGAATGCTGACCACAAAATGCTTATTTTAATAAACTCTGTGTTGTGGACGTGTTTCTTTTCTTTGGAGTCTGCTGCTGATATCCCACTAGATGGGAACAGGTAAGGTTTATTCCCTTGGCAGCAGSACTGAGCTGCTCTGGATGTCTCAGTCACATTTGCCCTGGCTGAGGGGGGATCTGGAGGAGAAGATCTGCTGGTTAACGCTGTTCCTCTTGGTGTGTGATGCTTTTGTTTCCTTTTTCTCTTCCTTRCCTCCTCCTCCCGGCTGCTTTGTCCCAGGGCAGCACACGTGGCAGGGCTGGGTGTCCCCAAGGGCCACAAGGACGTGCACAGCAAACAAAGTGCCTTGTGCACGATGGGGCTCGGGGGAGCTCCGAGGGAGCAGCTCCTGGAGTTCCCTGTTCCTTCTGAAGGCAGCTGCAGGCTGCAGAGAGGGAGGGTTGGAAGGGGGATGTGGTGCTGCWGTGCTCCTGATGAGCTGTCACCAGTGCTGGGGTCTGTGATGTGGGGACAGGAGCAGGGTGACAAATCCTGTGCTGCTGGGTGCTCACCCAGGAGCCACCCAACGCTGCCAGCAGCCCCAGCCCAGGCTGAGAAATTCTGTGTCTTCTTTGGACTCGCTGCTGTCTGGGTGCTCAGTGAGATCAGGACAAGTGGAATTTGAGGCTTTGAAGGGGAGAGCAGAAGGTAAACCTTTGATAAGGAAGATAAAAGGGACTCGCAGTGCTGGTGCTTTCAGATCAGCCCTGCACAAGGGGCAGGACTCCATGTGCCCAGCAGGGACAGGTCCAGCCTCAGCCACTGCCAGTGGTCAGACCCTGCAGGGAGAGGGTAMGAGCTGACCTCTTCCTCATTGCCTGGGGGATGCACATGTTTTTGCTAACTGGCTATTAGAATGACTTCCTGAGCAAAATAAGAGGACAGAAACTGGTGAAAAGTGCGTTTCATGATCACCTTCAAACTCTGCAGCTKTCTTTGATGGGACTCCAGAGCAGCACTTTTGGTCTCCTGCTCTGAGAGCATGAGAAGAGGTAAGTGRATGTGAGGGTGTTAAAATGTGCCTRCYTCTCGCAGTTTTCCATCCTGGCAGTAGCTGTGGCACAGCCTCCGAKGCAGGGAAGCAATCACCRTGTTTGTTTTTCCCCARGGCAGGGTGCTGGGAGGGGACGGGGAGCAGAAGCCCGGGGAGCAATCCAGGTGCCTCCCCTGGAGTGACAGGACCTGAGCCCATCTCGGGGGTCCCTGGGTGGACAGTGACCCTTCACCAAGGGCGCTCAGGAGTCACTGGACACAGAGCTGTTCAGGATGGCTGCGATCGGGCACTGCCCGGGAGGTGTCGGGGTTCCTCCAGCCCCGGGGAGGTGACGGGTGCGGGGAGAAGGGGACGCGTGCAGGGAAACGGAGCATCCCCGAGCGGCACATTTCCCTCTTCCCTCCATCCCCAGCCACACAGCTGGCTGCTGGCAGCTCCTCCGGAGTGCGCCTTGCCGCTCAGGGCATCGAGGGTGCTCGGGGGACCGTGCGGGGCGGTGACAGACACACGGGGGTGCGCAGTGTCCCCGCTGCTGCCCGCACACCGCGCCGGCACCTCCGCTTGTGCCGCCCTGCCTTTGTTCGAAAAGCCGGAGCGCTCCGGGCAGCCCGGGAGCTCCCGGGGCAGGGATGCTCTCCAGCCGGCCCTGCCAGCCCCCCTGAGGCAGCAGCACGGCGGCAGAAGCTTCGGCACGCCGGGCTTGTAAGTGATGCTGGTGACTTCTGGGCAGGGGCACTGCTGCCCCGGGGATTGTGGAGAGGAGAGGAGGGGCAGGGAGGGCACGAGTGGGGTAGGTGAGGCAAGGGCGGGGAAGGGAAAGG